GAACGTCGTCGTTATTATTTATAAAATAAGGAATAATAATATTCATGTATTATTATAAACAGTAATAATTTAGCGTTGTCGGATTTTTTTTTTTTTTGCTTTTATCTATATGTAATTCGTCGAGATGCCATTTTTTTTTTTTTTATCTGACGTGATTTTACATACGAAAATTGAGGATTATTTTCGATTAGGGAAACCGTAACGAGTGTGCAGAGGTGGCCTGTAAAGCCACCAGGAGATGTGGTTAATACCACATCCGCATATCGAAGGTATGTTCTACGTTTTGTTTTTCTTATCGGTCGAACGGGAAAAAACTGAACGCAATTCTCAATATTATCCGCTTCTCTCACGCCACTTTTCTGCTTTAAAATGTGATCTACCCAACGTACAATTTTCTATTCCCTCGTCTATTTTTTACTATCCGACGTGGTTTCTCAGCGTCTAAAGGTATTACGTTTTCGGTTTTTCCTTAGGACACTATAACACTTCATCGGAGCCATATTAGCAGGTTTGAACAAGGCAGGTTTTAAAATTATTTGTTGTTGATTGTTGATGCAGGCCACAGCTCCCTTGTCATTATTCTGATTTATAACTGGGTACTTCACTTCGTGAGCACAACTGCTATACTTGGTATACACTATACAGTGGTGTTTAATTTCCGTGGTTTTCAATTTTTTTTTTAATTCAAATAATTGTGTTTTCGAACTATTTTAAAAATTAATTATAAATTTGTACTTGCGCTTCAACAATTTAATTTTGAAATACGATATACTATAATTAATAATACATATAATATTTATGCATTTGTATTATTCAATGTCATGTATAAAATTGAACATTAAAAAAGTTTTAATTGCAATTTTTTTCTTATTCGAAAATATTATATTATACCTGTACCGTACTCAAGTCGTCATCTTTATCTGTGTCCGGGTCTGACAGACAATTAAAAAAAAAAAGTACCTATACCTATATATACTGTTAATATAATTATGTATATATATTTTTTTATCGATTATTTCAATATTATATTTGTTTATTTATAGAAAACCGCGCTCATTAATTACGCGCAAACTGAATAAATAATTTATTTTTAAATTGAGTTTTTCGATTACCATCAATTTCCAATTATATTTTGTCCACCTGCAGCAGCTAGAGGATAATGTTGTTCTATGTAAATTGATTTATTATAAAATACTGCTGCGGCGCGTTGTTTAATGCTCCTCGACGTGTAGAATAATTACAATCACAAAGTGAATTTTACGTTTTAACTAAAAGACAAAAAAAAAAATATTTAGGTCAATGTGTTGCTATTGTATTATTATATTATAATATACCCACCTCCGTATTATTATTACAACAAAACCTACTACGGAATCATATTTTAGGCATTAAATGAAAGCGGCTCATTTATATTTCATATTTTAATTAAGTAGGTATACCTACTCGCCTTGCCAAACGAAAATCCGTTTTCTTTTTTGATGTTTAACTTTACGTGTTCTTATATATATATATGTGTATTGAATTGAGAAAAAAAAAACTAGAATTATTCCGTTAATACGTTCGAATTTCCCTTCCCTCATTTTGTATTTTGAAGTACTCTTTGTAAAAAATTAAATGGTTGAATAGACACTACAATGATACGACGCTAATGCTACATATTACTATCCAAAAAATGGTGAAATTCGGGCTTAAACAAATGGTAGAGATGAAGTTTGAAAGTCTAAACCCCCAACAACCCACGAATATATACTAGATGTCATCCTTTTTGCTTAATTTTTTGAGTCTAAGTAGCGGTGTAAAAAGAAAAAAAAAACATGCAGTCACAACAACATAGTTAAAAATACATATTGATATTCAAACAGACTTGTACCACTTCAATCCACCGACAAAACAACTCTTAATACCCGTGTTTGAGCAAATTTGGTCCTGAAGGAACCGATAAAAGTGTCCAAAAGCAACGGAAAATTAATAATATTATATCCCATCCTATCCTACCTTATTAACATTATAAATGTGAAAGTTTGTATGTTAGTTAATCATGAACGCTAAAAAACCTCAATGGATTTGGATGTGTTCAGTAGTAATTCTACGGATTTTGAAGGTATGTACGAACTTTCACATGTAAAGAAAGCAGTTCAACGGTATATTGTGATGGTTATAGCGGGGGTGGGAACAGAGTACACGTTCAATTGAATTTATTTTGATTTTTGAAAGGACAAAAACGAACATTTGCTTATAAATGGCCGGGGAAATTTCAACAAAAATCCTAGTGTAAAATAACAGTGAATTTTCGCGGCCTGTTTTTAAAATATGACCGAAAGAGATAATTTTGTCGCGAAACGCCCGCGCACCTGCCGATTTGATCGCTTTATCGATTTAAACGTCCAAAAAGACGAAAGAAAAAAAAAAACCAGCGACCTTTCTCACGTCGGATATAAAAACCGAAATGTGTAAACTTCCCCGGAGAATTAGAGAAACCATATCACGTTGTTATAATATGTAATACCGACTATACGTAGTACGCCGAGAGACGAGTTTGGAATTCTACACGAAAATAGTTTTATAGGTATATATATATATATATACACTTGCATCGCGTTTCTCGTTAACCCGGTGAATAATTTAAAAAAAAATAAAATAAAAAAAGGACCGAAGTTAGAATAATTGTGTCTCTCTTTTTCTTCTACAATTCTCGGCGAGCTCATCGTCTATATATTATATATGTTTTGCGCTTTCTTAATTAAAAACCTCTTCTTTATCTTTACACTTATGTATATATTTGAATACAGGGTGCATCTGCAGATTTTGATAATTTCCTTTGTAATCCTACATACATACATCTTGTATGTGTATACTTAATAATAGTTTAAAACTCATCCGGTCCGATACGTGATGGAAAACTGTCGCTCGGGTTCCACGATACAATTTATTATTATTATAAGTTAGTGACTAAAAACTAAGAAACTATTAGAAAAATTTCGTTTAACCGGTTTATGTAATTTTTCGTTTAGAGCTCAAAAATTAATTTCGGTAATCGGACGAATTTTCGGGTTACTCTCTCTTGCTGCTATGCTTATCGTAAAATCGATTATGAGAAGAAAAAAAAAATGAATAAATCGGTTTTATTAATAATAATTGTTATTAGAAGTGTGCCGTTAAAAATAAATATTTATAGTATACAATTATGTGGTACACGCAGAATGACTTTTTTTTTTTTTTTTAGTCCATGATCCAACGATCATCTGTACGACGATTTTGAGTAATTTTGACTGTTTTTCAGCCATTATAGAATTATTGTACCATTTTACCGTTTTATTACGTAAACCATAAACGCGCGTTATTGACTTTTGATTTTCACAAAGCTCGACCATTTTATCGCCTGAAAATGATTACCTTGCAGCCCTATACTTCTCCGTATCCATCTACAAACTATATATTATTATTTTCACGTCCGTTTTGAAACGGGTTAGGGAAGATGGTTTCCGTACGAAATTCGAAAAAGTCAATATACTCTTTTTACGTAAGGCGTATAGTAGTAGGGGTACGAATTTCGGTTAAAATAACGCCCGATAAACAATCGCGTTGGAGTAGTGAGTAATGATTGAAAAACGAGAACAACGTAAATCAAATTTACTCACCCGGAAAGCCTTGATGATGGAAAATTCACCCTGTATTTATATATATATATATATAAATAATATACATCCTATAAAAACGTTTAATTCGTTATTTCCGTCGGGCCGCGCGTTATAAGTCCGCCGCTCCCGAAAAGCCGAGGATCAAAAATTAATTTTCCCGTTTCATCGCGGCGAGACGTCGTCACCGCCGTCGCCTTTATTGCCGTACACGCCTTCGTAAGCCGGTGTTTCGTTTATTTTTCATTTCGCGCCGATTTTTCGCTCGCGATTCCGCGCTAAAGATTACGCCGAGTGGACATCGCCGACGCGGTTTGCCAAGCGCAGATCAAAGTACGAAAACTCGGCGCATAACACACAGGCACTCTGTATAGTGCGTAATAATTAACCGCTTCGGCGCCGGCGACCGCACCGTAATATAATAATAACCACGTTCGCGGCGGTACGTATAAATAATAATATATAGACAGGTACTCTCTGTATATCGGTGTGTATACATCAGTTTTTTCAACGACAATTATTATTATTATATATGCGGAATAAAAAAAAGGTACCTACTCTTCTCGCATACTTCGTACTTGAAACGTGTAGAGTTTTATGCCGCCGTCACAGACGACTGCGGCGAGATATATCGTAACAAATAAAATGCGCGCGTTGTGTACGGAAACCCGCGCACGTCATTCCGTCGTTATTGCGCGTCGCGACCCCTCTGCGCGCGAAGTACTCGACTTTTTTTTTCCCGTCTGTGTCTTGTTTCTCACACTCTCCGTTCCCCGCAAAACCCATCAAACCGAAAACGATAATTCGCTCCTATACATTGTAAAATGATTATCGCTATTATTGTTGTCGCTGCTGTTGTACAATATTCTCGCGCGTATCATTATTATCGTTGTTTTTGAAGTAGCCGTGACTCGTTTATTATCGCTGTCGTAACCGTGCGCGCGTGTAGTATAGAGTAAATTTCCATATATTCCCTCCCCTCCCCTCCCCCGTAATTTCGGATATGAAAAGAAAATATTTTACATCCGCGCGAAAAACGTGCGTACGAACATTTTTTTTTTCGCTCTCTATACGTATATGCAATACCCGTACGCGCTGTATACATATTGGTTTAAGTATATTATTATTATTATTATTATTATTTTGTATAAAGGTACGACAAATATAATATTATTATACTCGAATTTTACGTACACTTGTTTATCTCGTGTTTTGTTGTTGTCCCACATATAGTTGTTTAGTTTCTTTTCCATTATAATGTGTGTTTGTATATATATATATACACACACACACGTGCGTGAGCCTACGAGATGAAAAATAGATAAATATTTTTATTATTTTTTTATTATTATTATCAAATTACACTTCGGGTACCATAATCGACCGGATAGAACAACAATATATGTATATAACTCGTACGTATACCTTATATACAATAACGATTTACATACGGACGGTTATTTGAGCGCCGCTTCCGTAATACAATTGTTCTTCTCGTCCGACGATCGGGTTTGCAAACCGCGATTTCGAGACAGTCCGAGTTCGCCCTCTCGTCGTTTCGTTCCTTCTGAGAAGTAAGGCACCTACTGCATATGGTATAACATACTACCGTGCCAATGTCCGTTTCTCCTTTAATTCCGACGGGTCTGTACATAATTATTTCTTTTCATGTTTTCGTGGCTCGCGATAAGGAAAAAAAAAACATACAAGTTTTTAAACATACCGGCAAAGCTGCCAGCCCTACGCCTGGAAAAGAAAAAAACAACGAAAATCTTAATAATTTAAATATCTACGGGATTCGGAGGCAATTACCCGACCCGCGGGACGGATTTCTGATGCAGCCATTTCGAGGAGAACAGAGAAAATTGAATTGGGCTCTCAAATACGAATTGTCGATAATATTTCACCCTTTGATCTGACTCCATACGCCTTGTTTTCAAAAATATATCGGTCGACCAAAATTGCATATAATAGTAAAAGTATATAATATTATTTTGTGGTTTCGGGAACCGTTTCAATATTTACTCAAAATCGGTAGCCGATTCAACGAGTGTCCTCCGAAAAACGATGGTCAGTATTAAAAAAAAAAAAATGAAAATGTATCGTTTTATAATAAACGTTTGTTATGTTCAATCGGCGAGACATACGGACAAACATTATAACAATAATAACATAATAAAATAATAATCGTTTATTAATAATATTATTATTATTATTATTTTTAATCAAGTAACGAAATTATCATCGAAATATATGGCCAATTATATTGAAATTTTTTTTTTTTTTTTAAACATCGACGATAATTATTTTAATTAAACTATACGTTTATTCTAAGATACACGTGTTCTTATATTTGACGTGGTCGCGTCGCAGAACGAAATTATAACCGATTAAATTGTTCATGTGCAGTATTTTCGTAAAATATAATTATTCCGTAGGTTATACACGTCACGATTTAGTTATTCGCCCCGTTCGTTTTCCACGTGTATTATGTACTTTTCTATTGTCCTTTTATACGTTTTTTTTTTTTTTTTTTTTTTTAACATTATGTATTTAAAAGAAAAAAAAACAAATTGATCGCATTTGTTTCATGTTGTTTTTTATGACGTTACGCGCGTGTATCCGTACACGTAGTGAGATAATATGGTTTTTTATTCTGCCGTGCGTAAAAATATATAGGTATACCAACAGAAAACATATGGCAATTAACAAACGTGTGGTAATAATATATTTCCGTTTCTATACATATATTGTAACGTTCAGGTACAGATATCATAATAATACGATAGCTCGGAAACTAATTATTGGTATAAAAATCGAATAACGGTAGAAAAATAATAATAATAATAATACGCCAAACGATAAATATTTTAACGGAAAAGGTGTATGAGAAAACGCATTCCGCAGTTTATTCGTCGAATAATGCGTATAAAATTCGAATAATATATAATATTGTACCGATTTTCAATACGTTTTGTACGTAATTTTTCGCTCAATTACAATTTGTCTGCATAAAAAAAAAAAAAAAAAAATTCGAACATTTACACCGGTCTAATTATTATAATACACGTAATATAGGACGTGTCATAGGTCTTGTATGACGCAGCGTGTGTAAAATGCGTTTTTTAATTAAAAATATTTATGTATTTTAGATTCGGAGCGTACAGTGACGAGTAGAATGATGTGTTTTTTTTTTTTTTTTTTTGTATTATTATTGTTTTTCCGCGCGATTTGAATATTTATATTTTACGAATTAAATATCGTTACTCACCTCCGGGGTCCTCGCCACTTGCATACAGTTTCAGCTACGATTTTTTTTTTTTTTTTTTTGTATTATTATTGTTTTTCCGCGCGATTTGAATATTTATATTGTAAGAAAAACGACTAAATCGTGTTTCGCTTAAAATTATTATTAGATTTATTATTATTATGGTTCGGGTGAGAATTTCGAATTCTCCCTCGACCGACGCAGGTACGTTACGAATGCGGTTTGTATTTTTTCACCCGCTTTTCAACGGGGTGAGGAAGGGGAGGGGACTGGTAAACCGTACGAAATTTGTATTTTTACACCGTGTTTAAATCGTTTCACAAACACTGACGGAATGAGTAACGAAAAAAAAAAAACGCGGAGACGTAAACTCCGTATTTGAATAGCGTATTTGAATACCTATGCACACCGACCGGCATTGGTTGTCAATAGCCTATCAAAATTTGTTAATATCGTTGGAAGTATTATTTACATTAATAATTTTAACTTTGGTTGTGTACACCTGTTGTTTATTTCGAATAGCCCGCCGTAGCTCGCGTAATCGTATAATATTGACATCGGGAGGTTTTTTTTTTTTTTTGTCGGCAAACGCGCGGTTTTATTATTATTATGTTTTTTCGAAATACCGGCACGATTTTCTACACCGAGGAATGTCATCATGATGCAGTGTACCGCGGTTTACGCCGTTTTTGTGGTAAGAGTTACTAATAAAAAAAATTACACGACACACTTCAGAGGGTAAATCACTAACAGAAATCGGTGTACAAAATCATCATGCGATCGCGGAAATTTCGCGCGAAATCGTGATAATATAATCATCGGGAAAAATCATGGCGTTCCGGAATCTGCAGGCGTACACAATATTTAATCGGTGATTTGACCTCTGTCTTGTGAATTTTTCACTGCTAAATCGCATAATGAGTACTCTCGATTTTTATTTTCAATATTTCGTCTGGTAATATTATTAATACGAACCATGAACTAAGCTGAGTCTCGAATTAGTTGGAAATCGGTTGAAATTCTGAGTTCGTCACGCTGAAATTACCTACGGAATTCCAGTAAAAATTTACCACCTACTTTGGAATTTCGTTTCAAATGAAGTAAAGTTTTTATATTTTATCGTATAGTTTTAAATATTTATTTTCTTTGCATTAATTGAACTTTGCGTATAATATTCGTCAACGTTTTAATATTTCTCGATTTTGGGATTTAATTTTAATTTTATCCAAACCAAATAACTTCATAGAACGTTATTTCAAATACATTTCAATATATATTGGGACAATATTATATATTATTAAATTAAATCAAAATCTGGCGCCCCTTGCAGTCTATACCCACAATCATATTATAATTTCTAATAAATATTCTCGAAATTCAAGTTCAAATTTAATAAAACGACGGTATTATACTTGGCTGAATTTGGTATTTTCCTTCTCGTAAATTTATATTTACTTTCAAAGACTGTTATTTATTGTAAATAAAAAAAAATACTATTCGATTTTATTAGATTACAAATTTGTATTGCGTATAAATTGTAATTCGCTCAATTTGTATTGTTATTTTTTTTAAAATTTGAAATGACAGCTACCTTCAGTGCTCAACTCTGGCCTTAGTGGTTTGTATGGGGTGTTTAGCTTCCTCGCTATAAATTGCTACATCGGTATAGTTCTATAATGATTTTTGACATTTTCGAACCGCGTTTATTGCAACTACTACGCATATAATTCGAAAAAGGATGATGGGAAAATAAAAAACGTTGTTCGGCCGTAATATTTTATGTTGTTATTATATGGAGAGTTTAAATATTTTTTAGAATAAAAATCGGAGGTGGAGTGTAGGCGTACATTTGGAATTATTATTTGAACGGGTAATCTCTGTCTGTTATCCCTCAAGTAGCCCGGGCAAAACACCGAGTGCCCAAGTATGTGCCTCATTCGGAAAAATCATTATAATTCAGCTTTTTTTCGGGCAAACCGAGTAATGGCCAACCTCATTCGGACAAAACCGTGGCGTTTCATTAATTTCAATTGTTCAAAGTAAGTAGGTACCTACCCATACCATTGTTTTTTTACCCGAGCTTTCTTAGGTTTGTCCGATTTCGACTTTCGCCCGTAACATAGTTTGCTTCCGAATGGCAAATATTCTCGGCTTGTGGTTGGTTTTGCGAATTCAGGTAGGTACGTTGTTATTATAATATGACGCATAGAAACGGATAGGAACCGCAGGCTATTGCCCACCTGCTGCAGTATTTCCCAAAATAAACGTACAAAATAGCGATCCCCATAATTATTTTGCATCTGAACACGTCATAAATATATACGGATTCGATACTACTTGATATTATTCATTAGTTAATACTTGTATATTTCCCGAATAATTTCTTATTCTTTCTTCGCATTTTTTTTTTTTTTTTTTAATAAAAACTTCGTTTTACGGCCTCGTGTTTTTTTTCCCCGGGTAAATAAATAACCACATACCTAATACTACTAACCCACCATGGCCACGTTTTTGCATTTTTATTTTGTTTTGTTTGTTTTTTTTTTTTTTTTTTTTTTTTTTTTTTTGGATTATTGAAATATATATATATATATATATATATATATATGCAACAATCGCGTTGCGGCAGTCGCGTATATTCAACACGCCTTTTTTTCTTCGCTCTCCTTTTTTTATGACTTTTATTTCTATTTTATTGTCTCGTATAGTGTATACAATATAAACTTTTCGAGACTAGAAAATTGCCGCGTCTCTGCGTACAATATTTACGATGACAATTAACGCGCGGACACATTGCCGACGGTATACGCCAATATGATGCAGTTTATAAACTTTTAAACGCGTAGCGTACGGCATTATGGAAATTTCAACATCGCCGTCAAATAGATTGTTACTCCTATAAATAATGTACTCAATATATATATATATTTACATATATTTCGAAAACAAGAAGGTTTTTGAGTTCGCGGAAGTTTTTTATTTTTTTGTTTTTACTTCGATTTCTACCGTAAAAGAGTGTATCTGGGCATGAGAAGTATTAACATCTGCATTTTACTTTCGGTGACGTCCAGTGAAAAACATTCATAGTTAAGAAAAAACGAAGCCCTGGTCATTATAATATAATTATATAGTCTTCTTCTTCCGGTTTTCCGGATTTTTCGTCTCGCAAGTCGTCCGTATCTTCACGCACCATAACATATTGAAACCATACACAAAATACTCGAACTTTCCGATTAGGTTTACAGAACATGTAGGGATTAACATGTATTTTTATTTTAAAGTTTCGCCCGAGTGTCAGGGGGGTAGTACCTACCTAACATATATCTGCCTATACACGTTTTTGGGATCTACCAACGTGGTGTTTCTGGCGGATTTTTTTCTTTTCCAGGTGGCGGTACTGTTGGGGACGGCCGTCTCGACAGTGACGATGACGCAGGTGACCTCGAAACCGGTCGCAGTCTCCGTCAAAAAGCCACCGGTTAACGCAGCGAAAAAGGCCGCCGTTCCGCCGCCGCGACTTTCAGAAGACGAAGACGAATACGGCACGGGGGACGACGACGATTTCGACGACGGCGACGTTCTTGTCGAGCAAATGTTGACGGCGGCCAAGGCGATGACCGTGAACGACGCGGCGATGGCCCGCCGACTGGACAAGGCTCTGCGGACCATGGACGAGACCGACAAGAGCGAGGCCGATCTGGCCGACCAAACGTTCGTCACGTACCTGGCGCTGTACCCGGCGTGGCTCGCGTACGTGCAGGCCGCCGAACCGGCGGCCCGGGAAAGCAAGTTCGCGGAATACCAAGAGCTGCTGAAACAGTACGAAAAGGGCCAGGAGGATATGATCAACATCCTGTTACTGCTGATACACTTGCAGAAAACACTGTTGCCGTCCAACGTGCTGCCGGACCCCGAAAACCGCATAAAACCGGCCCTCGACGTAGCGGATGAGCTCAAGATACTCGATAGACCATAATTATTTTGTCGTTATAATATACCATATTATATGCACCTATTAAAACGAGTACCTAATAATAAAAATAAATTACTATAGGTATATTATATTATACGTACTCGTCCTACGTGGTTTTTGTTCGTTAAAAATCCGCCCCATTCCCATGTCTCCCGTAACTCGTATTGTTGTTTTATCGTCTCGGTTTCCATCTTATTATACACTGCCTTTGTCCCACGCGGTTCTATCATTACAATTTGCTTCGTCCGCGGTGTTCCGATGCGGCCGGCCGCTGCACTCTGCGACGCTTTTCGCCTAAAACTACCGTGACGCAGTACAGCCGTTATCCATTATCGTTTCGTCCCTGCCGACTCGTTTCCCCGGTATTCCGTTCGTTATACGGATTTTTTTTTTTTTTTTCATACCACAAGAAACAAAACAAAGTATACGCGCGTGTACAATGGGCCTCGGCCAGAGATTTTTACTCGCAGAAAACCCTAGCGCGATATACACATTATACATAATAGTACAATGAATAAAATATTACTGTATACATACGGAACAGCGTTTTTCCGGCGATTATTTTCATCTAATAATATCGTTACGCGTATTGAACGCGCACCCGTCGCCGTCGTGTCCGGAATATATAGGAGAGGACAGGAACGGGTGTATAGAGGGAGGGAGGGGAGGCGTGTGAACCGTTGGCGGAAACTTCCTCGACGAGCAGAAATATAATAATACAACGAAACAGCAGACGGTGTTTATTTTACGCGTATATATACGAGAAAAAGGAATATTATTCAAAAACGACTTCCCGTTGTCGTCGTCGTCGTCGTCGTCGTCGTAGTTATTTCCACCTCGCGAGCATAATATTTTCGTATTAAAATATTACACGAATCCGGATCCGTATACAGGTGCGTCTCGGTATATTTGTTCCGACACCCGTTAAAACTGTGAAATACCATCGTATATGTTATAATTGGCTGAACGACAAATTATTTATCTGTCCCGTACGATTAAAATCGCACATTAACATTACAACTAGACCAGGAACGACACTAGAATCATGGAGCCGTGACGTGAAGTTACTTGAGCATTACCTGCAATGGTACCGAGTCTTTAACTAAGATCAACTCGGGTATTATACGAATCGCCAAACAAAAGCACGTTCAAATTTTAAAATCTTTCAAGAAAGTCAAGTAAACCTTGGTTAAACCTGCTTGAGAAGTTTCTTGATTTTTTTTTTCTAACATTTTAAAATTGAACACGTGCCCTTTATGCAATTAATGATTCGTATATAATGTGTATTGCGTATTATATTCATATACTTATTATGTATAAAAAAAAGATCAATGTGTTTTTCTGCCATGAAAAAAACTGCGTAACGGCCGTCAGTCCTAGTCTAAGTTTTGATATTATGCGTATGATTAAAATAATATCACGTCAGTTACAAATAGATAACAACAAACTATCTCCGGACTTGGAAGAATAAAATACACAGTTGTGCCGACACGAGTTTCGGTTATGGCTCTCGAATATTATCGTAGTGTTTTTGACGAAAAAATAAACGAAAACAAATGTTGCTCGATGAAGGGTAACAGAATATCGGTTTTGATAATATAACTCGCGCCGGTATATTTGTTTACAAAAAAAAAAAAAAAAAATCCACTCTTTCGTATTGTAAATAATTACTTACGTTGTGGTTTTTTGACGAATGTAATATCACATTGTTATAACAGTTCTTTTATATATTCGTCCGTCAATGACAATTTTTTTATATATACATATTGATTCGATATATAGACAATATTTTCTCTCTGTCTCTTTTCATGTGTCTATCGTGTATATTTGATAAAATTTAAAATCAAAAAACCTTTTTTTTTTTTTTTTAATGTATACGTACGCGTGATGTCTACCCACGTATAAAAAAACGCCGCGTTTGATTGAAATATTGTGACAGTACATATTATTATATGAATATATATATATATATATATATATATATATTTTTTTTTTTAAATCGTTTGTCAGACTTAAACACACGCGCGCAGCGCACTTTACTTGTAAATATTGGTTTTCTGTATTTTGTTCTCCCCCCCAATTTATGTCAACTGGTATATACAGTGAAATGTCATACATATATCGCAGTTTATGTGTGTAATGTAAATGCATTATCAAGTTTTGTACGAATTAGAAAAAAAATTATCGACCAATTATTATAACGCGCGTTTTATTATCGTGTATGCATTTGTTAGGTTAGTTTTTTTTTTTTTTTTCTAAATACAATCCGACCGTTTAAATCACTATCGAAAACTGTTCGGGGGAAAAAAAAAATCCACACCGAACTGCAGCGAACGCGCCGATATGTTGAACGGCGCGACGCCATTAGTTCTCGTGTATGTGTTTTCGCCTTTTAGCATAATTATTTCGACGCCCCGGCGGACGCGGGCCGCGGCGAGTGTTTTCCGCGAAAACCGAACACGCAAAATCGGTTATGTTTCCGACGCGACAACGTGTGATAGATCCGAAACAACACACGAAACGAACATTATTTTTGGATTTACCGCCGCGGGCGGGCGGGCGGGCGAGCGCCGGAGGACACGCGCAACAATATGCGCGAGCCCGAGCGACGAAACGTCGTGATGGTTCTAATGTTATTATCACGCACGGTGTTTCGCGGAGAATCATCGCCGCACGAGCGTGGCGATTATTCTCGTTCTAAATAATGAATATTACGGATGTGTATGATGTATACGCACACGTACGCATACATAGGTACGGGTGTATAATTGTAATTGATTTTCCGATCGAGACCGTGTTGTCTGTCGTTAATAACGCGCGTATACTACCGCGTTTATATAAATTGAGAAAAAAAAAAATATGTATCATTGTGTCGGTTTATAAAACAATAAAATATACAAGGTATAACACGGTGACCCGGTTTCGATTTGCGATTTTTTTTCCAAACCGAATTCACGGTTACAATATAATGCGAACGAATAGTAATAATAATAGTGTCTCGTATAATCCGAGATGCGCGCGTGCGATTTCCGCCTATCGATTTTATGCGTACGACGGGACCGCGCGCGCGCGCGCTCGCAAATATCATATGGATCGCCGCCGATAAACCGGATACGTCCCAACAACCTAACCCGACCTCCCGCGGACGCTTTCGCGACCCATGCGCTCCGTCCACGGGACAGTGTATCGCAAATGCCTCCCGTCTCCTTTGGCGCGAACGAACCGCCGGGGTCGTTACGGAGTGAAATCCGTATTTATGAGAATTGCCGAGAATTGTTTTACGATGCGGGGAAAAAAATAAAAATTCAATAACGACCGCGGCGGCTGTTGGGGGCAAAGATCCGACTGCTAGGTCGTTATATTTAGAGGAGGCGCGGAGCCGACAGGGGGGGGGCGATTTGTTTGCTTGTCGACCCAATCTACAAGGCGGAGGGGGGGGAGGAGGCGTAGAATATAGAAGCAGTCGGGAACCGTTTCGGGGACGGTCTATTGTATTATAAAAACAACGACGGTCGAATATGCGCGTGAAAAGAGTTTTACGGCGCGTGTCGCGCACTCCGGAGCCGCTGCGTCGGACGTTTTAAAAACGCGTAGGAAACACGCCGCGGGGTTACGTTTCCGCCGTCCGCCAAAGTTCACGCGCGCTCGAATCGCCCGGGCGGTCACGATGACGGCGACGATTCGTATAAAATATCCCCGACGTTTATATTATCCGTTGCGCGCGCGGGCGTGCCGAAATAACGCGGCCGCCTGTAACGATATTATTACAAAGAGGACCGCCGCATTATGTGTGGTCGGGGTCGGCGCGTGTACGGTACGCGGTAAAGTGTAAAACGCGCAATAGGCGCCCACCCGTAGGTGGTGATATACGTGCACGCGGTGTACAAAAAACTACTCGGTCAGGTTCGGTCGGGTTATCCGGTTTTATACCGTGTATATTTGTGGCCGCGGCGAACGGCGACAATTATTGTTGTTCGGGCGAATTGCCCACGTAGTGCGGCGATAATCCGTTATGCACACGTCAACCAATCGCCGAGTTCGTCTTTATCGTTTAACAAAACACCGTGCGCCGATGTTTTATTGTAACGAAAAAGGAAACCCGGTTGAATTTTTTTTAAAAAAAAAAAAAAAATCCCCCAGCCGATGCGATTTGTCAATTTGTTAAATCCCTGCGAACCCTGCTGCGGGTCCTATATAAGGTCCTGTATAACAAGTCGCGAGCGGCAGTCGTTTTTCGTCCAAACATTTCCCGCGGTTTTCGCGTTTGACCTCGGGATTTCTGCGGAACGGTTATTATTGTTTCGCTGCGCACGCGACTACTACGCGATATTATTGCGCGATCGTTTCACAAGAATTCCATTCCAAACGTAAAAACGGGCGGGAAAAGGTGGGCATAGCGTACGGTCTGCGATCTGGGCCGATCTCTTATTATCTGCTAGGCTCGCTCGTTCGTGTTGTGAGTACAAGTGATACGCGCAGTATAACTTTTTGTGTAAGCGGCAAAAAAAAAAAAAAAAAAACCACCTACAATTAAGTGTTTTGCCCGGGTTTGATATTAAAACGTACGCCGGTGAAAAATTCGCCGTAGTAGTTTAGCGGGGACTCGTCCGCCCCATACCCGGGAGACGAGGGCGAAAAGAGGCGCAGACTAATATTACGTGCGCGATCGGTGTGACGTCGTAATATGCGACGGCAGTCCGTATCGATAACTGTGTCCGAAAAATAATCTAAATAGCAAAAATTAACCCGAATGAATGCGACGCAAAGTAACTGTGTGATACTCGTATATTCTCCGTTCGAAGTAATATTTTAGCAATATTAATTGTCATCGCTGTAATCCCCATTTACCATAAACCTTGTTTATGGTACCATAATGTTTATTACCATAAACAAGGTTTATGGTAATAGGTAATATAATCTTAGTTTTGTAAGTTGCGAGGCGCCCGAAACTATAATTGTAACCGAAATTAATAGGGTCTAGGCTTAGAATTAACTTAGTCGAAACCGGTTTTGACGGATTTCGGGTTTCAGCGTAACCTCACTTGATATGACTTGTACTGAACGATAACCGAAATATTATTTTGAAAACGACGCGGCCGTGGTTTGTGTTTTTTTTTTTATCCGCGTTCTCCGAGCGTGTTCCGAGGGAATTGTAAATAATTTTCCCGAGGAATTTTATCGTATTTTTTTCCCCCCTTCTTTCTAATTATTCGATAGTCGGCGTCAACGAAAACAATACAATACGTTTGTCTGTGAAACCGACTAGTGTACGTAATTATTTTCTTTGCCGACGACGACGAACGTTAGCGTCTATCGACGTCGTTCGGAAACCGATGTATAGAACGAAAAACAAAAAAATAAAAAAAAAAAAAACCGTTTATTATATACCATTCTAAAAACAACGAACGCGATTATTATATTATTTTATACGATATCCGTCGCGAAATCGCCGTGACATTTGAATATACACCTATTTCAACTTATATATATATATGTATGAAGGGAATAATAATAATAATTATAATAGTATAATGGCAGTTGCAGTGGTTGTGTACTCTATAACTGTGTGTAACCGTGGTTTGTTCGGCCGAAACAAAAAGCAATTATTATTAGCGGAGAGTGTGTTTAGGCGGTGGAGAAGGCGGCGGAGGCGGACTCGGTCGGTGAATTTATTACCGCGCGAGGCCGCGAACAGTCGAGCGGCGGTCGACGATACGTATACTGTAATAATATACAAAAACGATAACCGTATTGTGGCGGAGGAGGTGGTCTCGGTGTGCGCAAAAAGCGCGGAAAAGTTGTGCGTGCTGTTTGTATTACCGGGAAAAAAAAAAAAAACGAACGACTATCAATTATTATATGTGTGCGAAATTATCGTATCGCCGGAAAAATGAGAATATGTTTAATATACAAGTACGGCGGCGGGATTAGAGGGGAGAGGAGTTCGTTCCCCTTGCGACGGACGAAATCGTAGAAAACATAACGTAAAATATTGCAATATTGTTGCAGCATCGTCCGGGGCCTTCCGATAGTCCGTGTCCGAAAAGCGATCGAAAACGACCCTAAAATTATTTGTTATTTCCGTTATCGCCGGGCAGTCTCTATTTATTTTTTTCCCCCGACGAAAAGCAAACATGCATAAGTACTATTATTACTCCGCAGCCGGTTAGTTCTTCCGGTTTTGAAAATCGTGAAAAACGTTGTTTTGTAAGCCAAAGTAGAACTCCGCGAATCGTGAAATGTATTAATTGTTTCGAAAAAAAAAAAAAAAAAAAACTGACGTTAAACGCCTCGCTAAAGACGAACAAAAAAACCAATAGTTTTAAATAAAAGACCGCGTCATCTGTGCCGGACAACTTATAAGCACTAATATAAGAGCGAACAGCAGTAAAAAAAAAAAAAAAAATTACTGTTTTCGATTTATTTTTTATGTTTTAATCTAAAATGCATATAATTTGATTTTTTTTTTTTTTTTTTGGTATACACGCCTTAACATCGCGGTGGCAATGGGAAGGCGAGGTGGCCTGACAAATGGAAAACCGGGACATGACTATATTATTAAACCTATTTTACTTCCTCTTCGATCTTTCGATTGGTCGGCCAGCGGCTCTCCACGCTTCTCTGCCAGAACTCGAATCTTTCAATTCGCAGATAATTTTTCATTCTCGTGTGTTATTTCCTCAAGAATTTTCGGTACATTATAATAATATATCCTCGGTCTTTTTCTTTCAATTTTATATTTATACGTTTAATAATTATTTACCTACTCCTGCGAATGACATCAAGGCGATTGAATGTTCAGGCGAAAAAAAATAGACGAAAGCGATTGGTTCGTCAGCGACGACTCGACTAGGTTATTTACTTTCGACTCCGATATCCGCAGGTATATACGCTCTAAAGTCTAAAGTTTTGGGTGTTTTATGTTACTGGACAACTCTGTCTGAAGAAGATGGCTCAATATATGTTATATAAGTATTAAAACAACGTACACATAGATTATAATTTAATGGTATAGGCGAACCCTGCGGTTCGACATTTTAGACCGGCCGCGTAATTTTATTTGATTTAATACTTATATAATCCCGAAGTCGAGGACGGCTCGGAGCTTAATACCACCCCGCCCCCCGTCCTCGGTTTGTTCCGAGTTGTTTACCGGCCGAAACGTCGTACGTTTGACTTTCTGCGCATCGCTGATTAATCGTATGTGTACATAGTTTTCTGGGGAAATAAAACAATTTTGAATAACTCTTTTAAAAAAAAATTGTTTTATTGAATATGAAAACTAAATGGTATGCCATTAATAGTCCAAAAGTTAATAGCTTTGTGATTTAAAATTAATAACCGTGTGCACATAATGGATCTTTGCAACATCTGTCTGGGAATCGCAACAATTTCTTAATGAATTTTGATTTTCAACTCTTAGATTATTAAAGAACAAGTGGTTTTTTACACCCTGTTTTTATAGCGGTCTTTACGCCATACGCCTGTTGTGAACCGACACCCGTTGAACCTTGATTGCCAAACGGCAGTTGTATAGTTAGGTGTGTTGAAAATCATTCACAGGTCCGCCGTTTTACTAGGGCTACAGCCCTGCCAACTTTGATTTCAAATTTTCCCGTTTCCCTAGAAGACCAATGCAATCTAAATGACAAACTTTATCCGGAATTCCGATCAAGTCTATTGAATCCTATATATTTATTTGAATCCGCAATTGTAGATTTATAACTGAACAAGAAACTTTACTACAGCCCATTACGTGGCACAGTAAACAATTCGGGGCTATACAGCATAGCGTCTACCAAATTACACGATAAGAAATTGCTCTATTGTCAAATTTCAGTGAAATAGAAAAATGTCTAAAACAAATATAATTCGTATATTATAGAAGACGTGTTTTCGTGTGCGTGAACTGCGTTAGTTTTGTGTATAGACTAATACGCCCCGGATAATTGAAAAATGATCAGTGGCCCGGGGATAATTTTGACTCCACTCGGAGGGGGACATCGTGATTATACAAGCAAATATTGTATCGATCATTACACGAAATTATTATACTAATCACTCTGTTTCGATTTGTATGTTCGAATAGTGCCGTCAAGCAATTTGTGGAGTGCTGCAAGACTGAGACATCAGAGACATCTGACATTGGACAAGTCTCCGCACGCCGAACCTTACATATCAGACGACTACACCATGAATCCGGTAAGTGTTTGACATAAAAATATTATTAAAAAATAACAATAATACCTAATAACCTTTTAGCGATCCGTTCGTAATATACACTTTTTCCAGACACAAATCTATCGTGGTTTTGAAACTGTTTTTTATTCAAATGTGTTGCGTTAAAACCAATTTTTGTATTCTAATTGTGCATTTTTGTATTCTAATTGTGCATGTTCAATTACGGATGCTCCACTCGAATTTAAGACAGTTGAAATGTTTCGATTTTCGGTTTCCTCACGTGTATTTACGAGGAAGCTGTTCGGTATTTTTCGGGTTAGTATAAAAAAAAAAAAATGTCCTTCATAGTCTACGGACATTCCGCCTGATGGTTTTTATTTTACATTTCCGGTTGAGTTTTCCATTTGGTGCAGGGTAAAGTCGCTTCACGATTTTCGATTTACGATTGTGTATATAGGAACCTCAACGGGTCAGCTACCTATATAGTATGTTTCCTATACACCGCAGCCCGACGAGAAAAACGGCACAGCATAAAATGCCAATTTTGAGGTTATTTCAGCAATAAAAATGTGTCGTGTACCTCCGTACCACTTGTGGTAAAAAAACGTCACAGTTCTAACTCACAAATTATCCGCCAGTTGTGGAAATTTTACATTTAGACTAGCTAAAATTATATATTCATCACGACCTGTGTACTTTGATTATAGTATTTCTCAATCACTGTATTTGTGTAGTTTAGTCATTTTTCTCGCCGAGATGCGATGGTGTATGGCGAAATTGTTCCGCCGCTCTAATTATATTGATTTAAATTTCAATTGTATTCGACCTACACGAAGTTGTGTTGTTACGTATAGTAGTATTTATTGATTATCCCATCGATTTTAGCATAATTATTAATTCATTTCAGGTATACTTTTGTGTACACACGGTGAGTCATGTACAGCGCTATACTTGGGCTCGTTCCATAAAAAAATACGTGTTGTATAAACCGCGCCTATAATATTTTATTACGTCGTTTAAACATATTTTCTGTACCGCGGCATGTGCGTATCGTTTTTCGACAATGAAAAAAAAAAAGGAGGGGGGAGAATAAAAATAATAATAGCTCATCGATTTTTTTTGCCACTTTTTTTACTCGACGCGACATTCCAACAATATAATACGTATATAGGCTTTTCGGTGGCGGTTAACGTGCAGCCAGCTATATTAGCTTGTCGTGCGATGTCAAAACGAAACTTGTTTCGAAACTTGGCAGCACGCGTGCATGGGCGCGTTTCGGCGGATTGTTTGGTTTTTTTTTTCTTTCTTTATTTTTTCCTTCGGAAATCACGAATGTTTAAACTAGATCATTTTTTTCCCCATGCGAAATTTACTACCAGAATCTCGCGCACGCGTGACTTTTTTCCATACATTTGCGATTTATTTCTCGCTTTGATAACGCCCAAATATTTAGGTGTTTTATCGATTGTACGTGTATTCGATTAAAAATACATCGTCATATTGCCTATTGTAATAAGCAATAACGCACGAAATATCGTAATAACTTAAAATGTTTTTATCTAGTAGCTACTGAATAATAGGTATCTAACCTGATTTATGGTGATTTTCGGAAACGGCTTTTCCTAGTTATTGTCTATATCATATAATGTATCGTTAAATAAATTTGTTGAATTTTTAAATGCACGCTAAACAACAATTTCGAACAATGCGTTTTGTTTTTATATATATATATACATACCTATACTTCCTTGTTGATATATTTATAATGATTTTAATAATTTTTTGGTGTTACGTGTTGTTGAATTTCAGTCGGTTCGAAAACAAATTTGCTAAAGACCTTGTGTTAGATTTCTTGTTTATTTAGCGAAACCTCGTATGAACAAGTGAATTTCGCGGTAAACAATATCCATTGTAATCCAATAATAGGTTTTATTTGGTTATATCAGCGGTCGGCAATAGGCGACCGGATCTTTACTTTAACGTTGGTTTTTTGTTTTCATTATTTGTCTCGGTGTAGATCCAGAAGCGTCCGTCCGAACGTATATTTTATATTTTTATGATGTATTTGGTAAATACAATGGCGATTATTGTTGTTTACTAACTAATAAATTTGTGTTTTTTCTGGAGTTGTTGAATAAGACGGAACTTTAAAATATAATAAAGTCAACAGATGGTTGACCTTTTTTTCTAGAGAGGGGGGGGAGGGAAACACTAATGATACCCGAAACTACAAACACTCGTACATATACCACACGAGAAGGAATTAGTAAATTAAGCACGAGCAATTCGTTTATTTGTAAATAACGAATATTGTATTGTGTACCTAAACGAAAACGTTTTATAATTTTTAGATTTCAAGTGTATAACGATGATGTAATATTAGTATTACTGGGATGTGATGGTTTCTTTTTTCTCGGAAAACATTTTTTCGTCGTTTAAACGGTAAAAAACGTTCCAAACCATTCTCCGTCATACATTAAACCAAGGGTTCTCAACCTTGTGGAATCCGGCCCGCCTTTGAAACTATTCCATCAGGTATTGTCTTCCTCCCTCCCTCTACATCAACATCACTACAAGATTGAAAGATATTTTTGTATACATTTTTATGTTCCGTGGGTTTTTTTTTTAAAACAAATTTTCAACGTTTCCCCATATTGGAAAATAGCCCCCTAGATTGAGAACTCATACGTTAAACGGTGCGCATTTTTCAACAGAAACTGACAACGAATGACGGTACGTTGGTTTTTTTTTTTGTTTGTTTATTGATATTTAGGTTACAAAAGGGAAAAAACCCGTCACCAATAGACTAATATTGTGTGTTGTAACCTTACCGGTTTGTTTTCATCATCGTGTATTATATATACATAAACTAAATTATCCAGCTACACCTTGCTTATACGTTCCACCCACAACGGCCGCCTCTATCGCCCGCGGTGCGAAACGTATCGGGAATTTTTTTTTTCTCGTGCACGTTTAAAATTATCCGTTGAAATAGATTTCTCCGCAACGGTAGTTGTTCGCTCTGTCGATTTTACTATATTTAAATGTACGATTATATATTACACGTAATGTATTTAGCAGCAATTATATTGCAATCCGAGTAAATTATAATTTGTGTACATTTGAAAATCGGCAATCCGGGACCGTTCAACTAGGTAGTCAAAGGTATGTCCGTATACCGAAATGGCCAATCGAAATATGCCCAACCGATAACACGGCCAGGTATTAGATTCTGAGCGAAATCAAAAATATGTATTGGTTTTACAATGATCTTTATATATATATAGATTTGTATACGTAAACAGTTTTTCTGAAAGGTAATTTCATCTGGATGGTACTTTAGAGAGGTCATTTTTTTGGTTTTCCAAGCGGTTTTCATAATAAAAATGAAGAAAAACGGTAAAAGTACAAAATGTATTATTTTCAATTTTGTTTTTTGTTGTACTTCAGTTAAAAATATTCATAGAGACTTGAAATTTGGACAGTAGGCTTATAGGCCTATATTGCCTTTTTTTGACATGGTCAAATTTTCAATTATTTTGGCCATTTTAAGCTACTTATAGACATTTTAATTTTGCGATTTACGTAATTTTTATTTAGTAGGTTACTTTGTGGATAACATTTTTAGACAAAACAAAAATACTTGAATATTTAAAAGAAAGTTAAATTATGTCGTGCTTTGTAATAAAAACAAAAACAAAAAAAAAAAATTGAGTGGTAATGCAGAATTTTTATCATTTGTAATCGTTGCGTACAGATGTACATTTACAATTTCCCTCTATACAGACTGTCCACGAAGATATACCCCTTAAATATCTCCGAAGATGATAAAGATAATCAAATTCTGTTTTTTTTTTTTTTTATATATATATATTACTCACAAGGATGAGGACTGCAAATATTTATATTTGCGTTGAATTTTTTTTTTTTTTTTTTAGAAAAAAAAACAAAATTTTTTTTTTTTTTTTTATCTCCGGAAATATTCAATGGGTATCTCTTCGTGGGGCTGCCTGTATATCCTATACCTTTCCGAATTCTCATCTAATCTCGTCTTTTCGATTTGATTCTCAAAATTCGGTCGCGACCATATTTTCTTCCGGCCTTTTTTTAATCGTCCATAATATCCTGTGACCCCCATTATGGACATCTCCCCCGTATCATTTCGACGACCAGTGCGGATCGTCGACGTTCCGACAAATCCGCGGCTTATAAGTTCGGTTTAAACAGTCGGTAAATCGACTGCGGCCGTGCAACGACGACACCTCTTCCCCGTTTTCTCTCGCTCCCGTACCGGCTTTGGCGGTTCAACATTTCCACCGGCGAAATTTCGTACGATATTGTTTTACGATGTGGCAATGTGCACGCTCGTTTTCCGAGTGTTACCCGTCGTGGGCATATATCATAGAAAGTGTTTTTTTTCCGCCATATTTTCATTTTTCTCTACTCCCGGACGTGCGTTTTACGCGATACAATACACCCACCGCCGCGTATGCATAAAATATTTATATACGTGCCGCTGCAATTGTAGGCGTATTGCAGTGTGTGTGTATGTATGTATGTGTGTGTGTAAATAATAATAATAATCATATAATACGATATTGCATTTTGTCCCGCGGCTGCGTGTCCGTACGAGTTTAACAGAAGTTTTTTTTCGAACATCTTTTCATTCAATTTACTGTGGTATATAGCGGCGACAGTGCAGTGTACTATCTTTTATAGATATCGTTTTACACGCCGCCGCGTTTATATAATGTACGCGTATATTATATTGTAATAATATATAGGTATATTATTGTGTATAATGTTACGCCGGGATTCACGACGGACAGACTGTTATTTTTGTTCGCGGACACACGGCGGTACACCGTTTTTTACAATTGAAAACTAATATTCTCAACGAAAAACGCGATCGGTTTTAATTTACCAAAAAAAAAAATTCACATTTGAAGCAGCGGCCGCTCACTTTTATAATCCAGAGTACGTCCCCGATTGAACTTGTAATTTCCCCGTTTCCCCCCTCTCCCACAGATAGTTCTAGCGACCCCTAGCTAGGCGGCAATATCGTCCGTTTTGGGAACCACTGTTATAATTCAAAACGTTTATTGTACCGAATCACCGTTGAGACCGGAAAATAAAGGGAAATGAATTGCCGAAGACGAAATTATAAAGTAAAAAAAAATGTCTGCATTCGACTCAACCCTTTCTCCCCGAAACCAAAGTTTCTATATATATATATATATAGGGAGAGAGAGAGAGAGAGAGAGAGAGAAAGAAAGAAAGAAAGAAAGAGTAATTGTATATATTATTAAACTTTAACGTATATTTTAATATTACGTAGTTGTGGAATTTACAGAAGAAAAAAAAAACGGAATAAAATTTTACGATATGCCCGCACTAGGTGGCGGTAATACGGTAACGGTTTTCTACGAACGATGGGACGAGATTTGAGCGGGCGCGCGCGCGTGTGAGTGTGTGTAATAGTACTGTGGCGGAACGAACGTATTTTTTTTTTTAAAAAAACATTTTTTTTTCCCCCTATACTCATCGCGAGCTCTTTTTTTCATATTTATATACATATAGAGCTGTGTAGTGATGTGTTTATTGTATATATATATACATACATATATTGTTCCGTCTCTCGGCGCCGGTCTTCACCCCCACCCCCTCCCCGATCGTCTCGTAGATTTTGTTGGCTGCCGTGCGTATTAATTACGAAAATTGCCCAGAGGATTGCGTGCCACTCCGTTATCATTATTATTATATGATACGTATATAGTCGGTGTATACGATAATAGGCGCAATAATATTATGCCATTTATTTCGTATACACAGAATACGCTCGAGGTCCAAATCAAAATAATATTATGCATTACAAACAGTATAAAGGCCTAAAGGGCCATTCGCACCGGAGCTTTTATAGCGTCGACCGATGATCAGATCACGAGGTTAGGTTTTTGTATTGATACCGTATAGAACGATAAAAAAATGGACTTATTATAGTAGAGAGATTAAGAAGAGAGACGGAAAGAGGTCCGAGAACCAATATTGTTAGTATTTCACTCGTTTATGGGATAGAGAAGTTTAACAGCAAAAATAACCTTATCAACTCTGTCTCATAGGGCGTCAGATATATTTTTTTTTCTTACTGTCCGTCGGATGCGTCGAGAAACAATCGTATTGGATATTATGTTTTTCCGCTGAACATCGAAATTTTAACGGATTTCTAATTTGATTGAACATCATCATGTCTAATTATACGATAGAACTAGGAGCACATGAAATATTGGTACTAAAGTGTATAGGCAATTATATACGACGGGAACAAAATATTCGACGATATCTCAAAGCTGAAATTTCGTTTCTATTGTTTTATTTCGACGTTTTAAATTTTATTGCGTATTAAAATTATTATTTCTTTTTCGTCTACCATTTCGGACCTACGACTATATCGATTTCGTCTCCGATAACTGGTTAACAAGATCCTTATAACCTCCCCATGTATATAATCCTTGTTATATGAATTCACTGCACAGTTCGCCTACGTAGATAATATTTTTGCGGGATTTACGCGCGACGTCATCTGTTGTTGCTTTTGTTGTAAGAATAGTTTCGAAAATGATGGGCGGGTTTGACGAGATAATAATATATGGACCTCCGATTCCGATCGACTCTTGTCGCTCGCCAAAGTTTTAATATCGGACGAGAAAATGTAATAACAATAATGCGCGCTCCGAACGAAGGTGCCTAGGGGCCAAAACATTATTAATAATAATGATAATATAATAACGAGGCATCACGAGACACTATTCGACAATATTATACAGACACACGAAAATAATACATAAATAAAGCCCGAGGGGGTAAGTATAATACTGCAGTGTCTGTTGTTTATAATTCATTACGCGTATGCTGTCGGTGCCTTTCAAAGGGCGTTCGTTTCGGTGACTTTTTTGGGAGAGGAGGAGGAGTGTTCTGTTCGCGGAAAAAAACGATAATCTCCATCGAAGTGCAGGCTTTCCTCGGTAACTGACTGTGTCCGTATCAAATTAATATATAGGTACGCCTGTAACTATCGACGACCAATTAGTAATAAGACTGTCGAACTGTTCGACAGATTTCCCCAATTAAACTATTCGGAAGTGTTGTTCGATGGGTTTAGAATGTCTGTTTTGTTCCGGAATGACGCTCGGCCATTTCGGGCAAATAAGTAAATAAGTGTCCCGTTTACATCCTATCTGGTAATACTTGTGGGCTATCGACGACAAAAATAGGAACTCCCTATACGATACATACAGTCAGTGGATCTCTTAAATAGCATTTTTAAAACCTTCTCGGGAGGTAGTATCCTGCAGTGCCGTGAGGATTATAAAGTCCATGCGGTTCACACGGCACGTATACAGAGTGATCGACGTAGCGCGTATGGCACTGTCATTATCTCGGAAAGTATTGACTTGTTTAGACAATTTAAAAATAAAGAAACCCAAAAGCTGCTCTCAAACGTTACGTTACCGTTATTTTTGGCCGACCTTATTTTTGGGTGTCAAACCGCTTTCGATTTTCAAATAGTAACCTGTGTTGAACATTCCGTGTAAATAGACAAAGTTTTAATTGAAATAAATGTCGGTTTCTTACATTATTTTATGTTTATCGTCCTGTATAATAAGTAAACGAGTGAATTGACCGAGCCAATCTCTTCGAATAGCTGTACTTGCTTCGTGTGTGGTCATCGTTTACTTAAAACACTTCGCGCCGCGATAAATCGGACGGGTTTTATACTCGACTCCGTACTTCAAAAGCTACACGATGTGAATATACAATACTTGCCGATTCATTTGCTTCGTGGGTGGAAGCAAACACGTATATTATACAAAATGTACTTCGACGAACTCGGCTTGCTTGTTTTTACTCGTGAACCGGACGCGGCTGCGTATAAAATACTATATTTTATGTGCACGTCTCGATCGTTCTTCTTATAATTTTCGTTTTTATTACGCGACGATGAGAAACGAATCAATAAACCGCAATCGCCATTATACAAATATAACAGGGTGATCATTATATTATACGCCTACGAAGATTATTGTATGCATAATATATTCCCGTTTCACTTTTGCAGAAACGCGTATTTGATTATTTGTCTTATTTGTGGATAACTTTAACTAGCGGATATGTGGTGTTTTTCTATAAGGGATACCGGGGAAAACTTCGAAACATTTGCGAACACTAAATACTAAACGCTATTCGACGTGTTTCGAAATCGAATTCACTCGAAACCTCGAGAATAGACGACCGCTGATAAAAAATAAAAAAATAAAATTACCCTGTACATTATAATAATATACACCGCGGCATTGGTTCGTTCCAGTTCGTTACGTTCGACGTACTGCAGTAGGACGACTCGCGGGTTCAAGGATTACTCGTTTAATCTTCTTTGGTCTGTCAAAACGCGTCACTCTATATATTATTATTATTATTATTATTATTATTATTATTATTATTATTATTATTATTATTATTGTTATCATTATTATACAATATGGCCGCCGCCGAATTGACGCGTTGCACAGTCCGATGATATTTTTTTTTTCCAAACGGAATATTCCGTACGGATATTGTTATCGATTATTATTATTATTATTGTTATTGTTATTGTTATTGTGTCGAATTCGTCTTTATTATCATATTGATTGATAGTATAATATTATATCATAGCGAATCAGAAACGAACGGCGATGTTGTGCACATGTTGTATATACGTACTATATAATATTTTGTGTCGCGCGACGACAAATTTTCGACTGCATCCAATTTCGTAAAAACAATTTAACAACAATACGCGTCTTATATTATATTCTTTACCGCGTTGTGTTTTTTTTTTTTTATCTGATATTGTTACCGTCATCGCTCCGTTCAATCCACGAATCTAACAATAGAATATATATCGTCGTTGCGGTACCGTATGAAATATATTATCATCATCGTTGTCAGTTTTCGATCAAACTATATTGAGGTTTATATTGCGTATAACCGAAATGATATCTCGCAGTCACGTTTACCCGGGTTTCTCACGGGCAAAGTATGACGAAAACGGAATCGCGTAAAACACGCGAAAAAGCCTTTTGAAATCCGTTTCCGGAGACCTGTATGATAAAAATTGAATTGGGTGCAAACACGCGTTTCGAAGGCGTACCGCGTCGGCGTTTTTTGAAATATCAATTAAACTGTGGGTGCGAGTATAATATTATAAATAAACACCCGTGAGCGGCAGAGCTCCGTCACTAGAGACGAATATTTTCCCACCGGCCGGTGCTCGCCGTTATTACACAGTAGGTATTTCATTAATTGTCGTGTTTATTGATCGTAAATATATAAATATATACGTAATTATGGTCGCCAGAGTTGTATTCGATGTTAGTGTGATACAACGGGTGTTTAAAATCCTAAATTATACTCTATTTTCGCGGGGCATACAAATAGTTGGCGATGAGGTTGAATGCTGAAACCATCAAAAGGCACTTCGTTGATACTTACACCACGCATATACATTGCGATTTATAAAACCGCATCTCTCGGGCTTCAATCGTGGGGTCTGAGTGTGACGGGTTACAAACGATTCCTCGTTAACATTTTAAAAATAGTACCGGCGTTAGTGAGTTTAATAATAATTAGAAAATTATAAAACGTCGATGACGATGGTGAGGGTTTGTCTTCGAAACGTTGCGGCCGTCTACGAATAGTTTATAATTGACGGGTTACCTCTTAAACACTGATTTCGAAGGCTTTTTATCGGTTGTTTTTTTGACATAAATATCTGAATAAAAATGAATGTATTTCCGATATGATGACGGAAATAATCTTGAGATCGTTACATTCGGCACCACAGGTGTCCCGCTCGCTATTCGGAGGTTTTTTTTTTCTGTTTATTATAATCGTTTATAATCGTCTGAAATTGCAATCGTTCTTGAGCGAGTAGTCGGTCTTCTATTCTTGTTCAGTTTGTCGTCGGTCTGTCGGACACGATTGCTGCCATCACAAAGCCATTTCTCTAGCTGTGTTGCACGCCGAATCAAAACTAGCGTTTTTTTTTTTTTTTTTTTTTTTTTTTTTTTTTTTTTTTTTTTTTTTCTACTAAACGCGAGTTTATGTAGAGTTTAAATCAACGTGCATAGCGATATGATTATTATAATTAATTTCGTCTGTTGTCGTATTAATTCGTACGCGGGAGATCCGGCTGAACCATTTAAATTCCATTTAGGATTTATAATCCCTTTTCAGACTCATCGCGAGTCACACTGTACTCTACAACGTGTTTAAAAAGTACTCGGTAATGTAAAAAAAAAAAAACACTCATTAAAAATCGTTTAAAATCACTAGACAGTCCGCGCGAGTCTTTGTCGGTCGCTTTAATAATACTATTCTTTCCGCCAACTTTCCCACAGCCCGCCCGCGCGCCAGATGACTAATTGTTTTAAAAGACATTTTTTTTTTTTACCGCGCTCCTCTTCACACCTCTCATCGGCACGGGACACGCTATTATTTATTGTTATTATTATTTTTAATCTTTCTCGCCCCGTGTACTGCAACTTTTCCGGTATTTTTTTTTTTTCATTTCTTTAATATATAATTACGATTTTCCCGCGCGCCAAGTGTTTTCAGATCGTCGCAGCCGCGTTTCGCGAATTCCGCTGATGTAATAACGGCGGTTTTTCGCGCTTCCATCCGCGAAAAACAAGTTTTCTACCGGGAGACTTTTTATACACAATATACTACAGTATAATATATCCTCGCTGCGATCGAAAACATAATATAGCGCAGGTTTCTCGGGGCGTATTGAATCTCGAGTCGGCGCAACGAAGACATTTTTTTTATTATTATTATTATTATTATTATTATTTTTTATTACCTTGTATTCGTACTCGTATTTGACCACGGGGAAAAACCGAACAATTATAAATGACGTCCAAAAAAATAAAATAAATAAATATTTAACCCTATACTTCTGTACCGCCGTATTTCGTTCGTTATTTTATACCGTACTGGCTACGGTAATATAGCTGCGTAACTAATTGCACTATATCATACGGATTTTCGTTCAAAATCGTTTTTTTTTTTTTTTTTCAAGCGATGAATTTTCGTCGCGTACAATAGGTATAACTCGAATTGCTCTACTATACCAATGACGTACCCTTCATGTTTTTTTATTTTTTTTTTTTTTCGTTCTCATTTTATCAAATCGACGCGATTGCCGTCGAGAGGTTCCCAGCTATACGTCCCGACGCGCTCCCGCGTACGCGTATAATAATAACAGGTATGTTCTTCGCGTCCCGTATTAATTATATAATCCTTTGCCCCTCCCCTCTAACCACCACGACCACGCCCCCTCCCCTCCGTCCATCCCCCGACCATCGGTTTATCACTCGGTGCGGCGATGACAGACCGTTATCCTGTGCTTACGGATATCGAGTATCAACGCGCCGTCGAAAAGGTCATATAATATTATAAGCCCGTCCGCGCGGCGTTGTAATTCGATATCACGGCCAATTCGCCCCGATGAAAGCGGCATTTCGCGCAGTGTTCTCGTGTTTGTACGTGCACCGTTCGCAATGTACACAATATATGCATATAATAATAACACACGACGTGGGGGAGGGGGAGGGGGGGGGGCGAAACCGCCGTACATTGCGAGTACGCCGCCGCTGCTGTGCGTACAGAGAGGAGAGACCTCTCGGTTTTCGACATCAATAACGTTTCCGGTTTTGCGTTTGTTCGCAGGTCCAGGGCAGAGGGTCCGGGCAGAAAACCGGATTGACGGTGCAGGATAACCACAAGCCGGTGTTTACGAAATGTTTGGATTACCAGCCCAGCGTGAAGGAAGAACAGCCGACCAATACCTACGTGTTCACCGTGAGTATACGTAATATTTGTAGTATGTTGTTATTATTATTTTTTTTTATTTACGATAGGTAAGTACGTAGATCCGTGTATAATATATTGTAGCGATGGAAAAAAGACCCCCATTATTCGAATCGGGTATGCGAGATATCGCGTTACGGTTATGTTATTGACGTATATACGGGTCAGGGTTGCCAACCGGATTTCTGGTGCTACGGCCAGTTATGAATTGTACAATAAAGGTATCTTAATAATAATGTCTTTCAACTGGACGTCGAATTTCCCGGTTTTTACGTGGCTCGCGCTTATTAACGGTTTGTACGAAAAATGTTTCGTCTTCGAATTCGAACGTATTATATTGTCTATTTTATTTCGAATTTATACCGATATTAATAACGTATGACCAAAGACGTAATTACACTAGAAGGGAAATTGGAGAGAGGTCTGATCACCCGTCTCCCACCATTATCTTTTTTTTCTTTCATAACGTATACACAATTTTATATGTAGATTAAAACAAAAAATAATAAAATCTACCTCACGAGGAAATGTTTTGCCACCGAACTCCGCGGCGCATACGAAATTTACGCGTACACCACTAATTGTTATAGCCAAAATCTTGTTGTTTGTGTCCACTGTCCAGTTGTGAATCGCCAAAATAAAGTTGAATTTCTAATTTATTCGGGCTACTTGAACATTATTTACACGCGTATTTTATACCGGTAAATTGATTATTATTTACACGAATTTGCCTTTAAATACAGGCGGATTGTATTATGATGATAATCTGATGGTGGCGGTCTTCAAGATGTCTCCCATTGTGTAAACTCGTGTATTTTGTTATGACGACGTTTGTCGTAAATACGACTGCGTGTATAAACATTGAATTGGCATCGCCCAAACGGACAACGTTAACACCGATAAACAATATAATCGACATGTTAATTATTTGGCTTGTTTGCACTGCGGATATTTCAATATTCTCGTTAAAGAGGGCGAATATAATGATGGCACCGAACCAAACGATATGTTATTGCAGGTAGTGTGGCGATCGGTTAAGAAGACAATTTATCGTCTAGCCTCTAGCACATCATTGATTTTCAGTATTTGATAAAAACAAAACGCTTATGCCAACGCGAAACAGACAAAAATACCGTTTTCAGACGATTTGTTAAGGATAAACTTCCCATTATATAAAAAATGTCATACATGACGCCTCGTCCTTGTTTGATAATTATTATTTATATTACTGTCTATTCCATTTAATTCAAAGTCAGGAAAATCAAAACTACGTCGGTGTCCCTAAATATAGTTGATACATTAAAAAAAAACCCGAACGTATAAATTTTAATGTTTAAAACGAAACCTATCCGAATAACTGTATGAAGGAGATGAGGTTAGTACTTAAACAGTGAATAATTACCGACTTAAAGTTCAACGAAAATTTTAGGGAAAAATAATTTTTAAATTGCTTACAAAAATATATACATTTTTTAAAAAAGTGTCTTTAATATGACACGATTTTCAAATCCAATATATCCATTCTTAACAAAATCCTAAGTACGCCGTTGCATTGACACGTCTAGTTTAATATAATATATCGTTGCTTATATACTGTAAACAATGCATATATCAGTTCAGTTTTTATAGTTTTACAGGATAATCAAAAAACATTTAAGAAATAAACATTTGTCTCAAAATGTTGAGACAACAACGCTTGTCTCAACTTCATCGATCACTATTAGCCGAGATAAAAGTTTTTTTAATAATGTGACGTTTTCGTGAATTACAGTATAACCACTAGTCTAACAAAACAAAAATGTTTAAATTCCGGATTATTGCGGTCCGAAGTTTTACGTTCCAGAATTTTATCATTCCAGAAAATATGATCTACCTGTCTTTATTATATAGTTTCCAATACACTATAATTTTAACGTAGATCCTATTTCTATACGATTTATTTTTATTAATTTCATAAATTATAGTCTCGTTTTATAATTAAATGCGAATTAAAATACGATATTTGCGGTTCTACTTTATTACATTTCTCGCGTATAATTACTCACTATACTGCAGCTTCCGTGAAACCACTCGATCAATAAAAACATTTACAGCTCAACAAAAAAAAAAAATAATAAAAACCACTCGGCGTTCTCATTTAAAGCGCGCACTTGAGTTTGAAAATTGGTTAATCGTTTTTTGATTTGTATTTATTTTTATATGTATATAAAAATGTATAAAAAAAAATATAAAGTCTTTTAATACGCTTTGAAGAGAAAAAAAAACGAATAACTACGAGAATCGATTGGCGTATATCGATCAAAGAGAACCCCTCTATATTAATTATTTATTCCTTTTAATTAGACAATTTTTCATTATTATTATTATTTTTTTTTGGTCGGTCATTTTAATCACTTTAATTGAAATATTATAGTTTCTGCTGCGGTAAGTCCGAGATGTCAATTAATTGTATTGTACCCGTTAAACGTCTGTCATCCCTTTCCACTTTCGATTTTTTTTTTTTTTTTACACTGAATCAACGTTTTAATAAACAAAAATCGTGTAACGGGTATAGCTGATATCTGTGCAATTAATTCACAGTTTACCGACGCATATGAAACGCGTTTAAAACGAAAAGCATACAATGAAAATGAAAATTTCGCAGTCAGCAGAACAAGTTGTCACATATACATTGGGAGTAGAATTTTACCGTTGCTCGATTTTCGTACAATTGAAATATTGAAATATTCATTGTAAGGCCAATAAATTAACCGTGTAACAATATCGCTACACTAGACTAAACGACTTCCGAAACCTGTGGCGGATCGAGACAATTGTTATTGGGAATGATGCATACCTACATTATAAAATCTGACCACCTGCTTTTATTTTAAACGTCGGCATTACCCTCCCCCCCCTCCTCCGGGCAAACGGAGGGAGTGTATATACAATGCGTATGGTCACGTTTATGGAGTCGTCGTTCGAGTGAAGTGTTCATTAAACATGTTTCTAATGCACAAATTTACGTACAATGTATATACAGGTGGGGGATGTCTATTTTCAAGTTCTTAAAATTCATCCCTGGACATACCGTACCCTTAATCCGGCCTTGACTACTAGTACAGTAAATAATACAATTTGAGATATTCAGTATAATGTACCCGTAATTTACCGACTTAATTATTAAACACTAACAATACTGATGTATTATAAGTTATATATACATTTGAAATCACCAAACGCCTTCACACCATAAACCATACCATTCCTCCCCCTTATATTTCTCGAGAGTTCGGTGAGCCTCTTGTAAGTGCACGTTCAAGCCGCATCTGTTCAGAACGGAAATTTTAGTAAAAAAAAAAAATATTAGCTGTATAGTTAAAAGTTCACGTCTTCAATAAATACGTCCTTGACACTGACGCAATACATATACGATGATATAATTCGTTCAGGGATTTGTACAGGAACGTTCAAATTCATATTGAAATTCGACCAGAATTCCATTATTGTTATTATGAAGAAAAAAAAATGCGCGTTAAAGTGAGAGGTGTGTTTTAAAAATTGATTTATTATATTCGCAGGCGATTTACATCGAATTTCGGAAAATTCGTATTCTCGTTTCGACGATCGGATCAATATATTACGTACCTACTGTGTCGATTTTTGTTTTCCGCCGCGTTGACCGGACGTGACTTTAATATAATACCAAACCGCATTTCCCGGGATATGATGTAAACGAGATCCCTGGCGCAAATTATATTTTCGCGATCTCCTCGCCCCTCCACGTGTACCCTCTCCGACGACGAAATATTATATACAAACAAAACACTATTATTATTATTATTTTTATGCGCGTATATCCGCGGGAGCAACGCCCATCGAATTTCAACTTCCAAAAACCGCACACCCCGGCCGATTGACCCTTCCGAAACACCGCGGGGCCGCAAGTTTAATAATAACAATGGCATATACATATACGTACTCGTCATTTCGACGCCGTCGACAACTTGTTCCGAACACTGCACTTAAGACCTCCCGTATATATATATATATATATTTTTTTTTTTTACTGTCGCGAAAAACGGCGGCCGTAAAAATACACGCGATTGATTCGTTTAACTTATATTGTTGTGTTATTTTTCCGCGCACAAAATATATCGTTTGCCGCTTTTTCCGCTCTCCGGCGGATAAATGCGTTAGACGAACTTTTCCACAAGCGATTCGCTTTTCGAATTTCGATAACAATCAAGCCGTTCGGAGAAGGGAAAAAAAACGCCCATAAAAAAGAAACTATTCGCGTTTTACGTATATACAATTTTGTTTAAGCCGCGGCCCGACGATGTGAAAACGTTATCGTTTTTCTATAGAAAATCCGACGGAAAACCAACGCTAGAAATCTGCGGTTGTCGTGGTTCGGTGAGATATTTAGTGCGAACAATTATTTTTCGAATTAAAATTTCCGCGTAATTTCTAGACGAACCGCTGCCTCGATAGCGTGTTCTGATCAATTCTTATTGGTTGCGAAGACCTCGCGACCGACCAATCGCGTCCAAACTGTACGCGATATACGAGAGGTCTTTTTTTTATCGTATCACGTATATTATTAATTCTGATTTTTTTTTCTCTCCGCACTGCAGGTCAAAGCGGATGACAAGGACCCGCCGGACAACGGAGGGACCATCACATACACGTTCGTCAGCGCTCCGGGCGAACGTTCGAAGTTCTCGATCGACGCCCAGACCGGAGTGATCACCACCCGATACGTGAGCATTATTATTAATATGAAATACCGCAAGACCCTGCACGGCCTTCTGTATGGTGAATTTAAATTTCGTTGTTTATTTTTTTTTCTCTCGGACAGATGTTCGACCGCGACGAACCCACACGCGAAAAACAAGTGTACCTGACGGTCAGGGCCACGGACAACGGGAAACCGCACTTGGACGACGTGTGCACCATCAAAGTGACCGTCCAAGACGAGAACGACAATTCGCCGGTTTTCGACAAAGTGGTAAGGATTCAGATTCGATTATAGGCTCTTTACACTAATATTGCCCGATTAACCCGCAATAATAATACACTATAACCATCCGTACCCCGGGTCCGTATATATTTTATTCATGTACGCATTTTCTAACGTATCGAATCAGGTCTTCCGAGGATTCAACTACAAGGTATAATTAACATTTGCATGCTGCGCCGTCATTATAAAAAATTAGATTTCGTCGTTTCACTTTCTCGAATCGCATAGTTATTGTTTTTTTTTCTCTCTTTTGTTTGCATGCCATTTTTGAAAAAACTTTTGTTTTTGTTTATATTTAGAGATAACGAGCCGCGATACAATATTATAATAATATACTTAGATTAAAAAAATTGATTTTACTTTCATTGAAAACGAAAACAAGTGAGTATAGTGTATAAGCAATATGTTCGTTTTCCGGCGGTCAAATTTGCATTTAAAAATATTATATTATCGCACCGCTCGTTCGATATATTACAGTGTTGTGATACCGACGACGAGAGCTTTTTAATAATATAACGAATATCGCGTATGTATCGTGTTTTGTATGTACCGCGTTTTTTCGCCATTACTGTTTGTTTTGCAGCATTTGCGTGTATACATATAATTTGCCGCTTTTATACGATATCGTGTGTAACATGTATGCTTATACTCGGTGGGTTTTTTTTTTTTTTTTGTTTTATCAAGAATTACATGGAATCCGTACCCCAAGACCTGTCGCCCGAAAGCGAAGTGATGAGGATATCGGCTACCGATATCGACGACGGTATAAACAGCGCAATACAATACGACCTGTCCCCCAGAGTGACGGTGGACTCGGGCTATTTCCGAATCGATCCGAACACCGGCGTTATCTATTTAAGTCGCACGATCGACGTAAGTAAATCTCTATGATATACAGTCGAATATAAACATAATACGTTTACATAACAAAATTGCATGTTCAACACTATACTGAATTCGATGTGTGTGTTTTTTTCCCCGTGCGATTTCCAGAAAGATCCTAGTTACAAATTCAAAATGCGGGCCACCGCCACCGATCAAGGTGTAGTTCCTAGGTCGGCCACGATGGATCTGGAGATCATGGTGGTCGAATCGCACAAGAAAGCGCCTACTTTCATATCCGTGGAGCCCGAAGGGACCATTTATCTGCCGGAGAACCTCACGGATTTCAATTACAACATAGCCACCATTAAAGCGGCGTAAGTCCCACCAGCAGTGTATACATAGTTCGTGTAATATATGCATATAATTGGCGCGATTCCGATTTTCAACTCGGATAGTGCGGGGCTAATGATTTATTTCGTTTGGCTTAACCCGTGCCTATCCCGATATTGTGCCTATATACGCGAATACTAATTTTTTTTTTTAAACAAAAATAGACGATTTTGAATATTATATATATTCGATTGATAAAATACCGAAATATTTTAGATCGAACACGGACGAAAAATCGTTGTTTTTCGAATTGGTGCCCGGCCGGACGGAACAGTCGAACAAATTGAACACGTTCAGATTGGAATCCGATGGCAACTCCGCCAACATCAGACTGTCTAGGCACATGGACTACGAATCGATATCCGAGTACATTCTCAACATCCGTATACAGGTGAGATTATGTTACAATATGACGTTTGTGTGTATTATTCATAGAAAATTCTATACATCTTCGTATGAGTGCAGCAAATGATTTGAATATAAACGGAGATTTATCATTGTATGTGGTATATGACGCATCTATGCGTGTGTACGTAGTTGGGGATTTGCGAAATTCTTTAAAAAGTATTAAAATTGGAGGGGTGGAACTCTGGTATAATAAAATATATAGTCGGTAGGATTAAAGACCAGCGGAAATCATCGTAAGTGAAATAACATGCACGTATTAAAAAAAAAAAAAAACAAACAAAAAACCCCATAACCGAATCCATAATATTGAGAATACCGCGTTAGCTCTGTGAATAGTATCGTTCCAATTCAATTTCCCGTCAACGGCGAAAAGCTCGGTGAAACTTTATTACATTGTACGATTACGCAATGTTTGTACTAACTGTCCCGAAAAGGGTGTTCCGGGTAAGATCAAGGGGTATGATAAAATATTGTACGGCTACTTCTAATACGAGTTTTATCCCCCACGCGACATATCTATCCCAATATCCGTTTGAAACGCGTCTTACCCCGTTATAAAATCCGTCTGCGACTCCGCCACCTTGGAACGTTGGGTTGCGTTACGCATATGTTCGGTTAATAACGACCGTTTTTTTTTTTTTTTTTTGGTACATATTTATTTATTTTTGTTCGTTTCTCGGTTTCAGAACAAACACAACCTGGCGGCCGAACACCAGTTGAACATCCAGCTGGAGGACGTCAACGACAACATGCCCGTGTTCACCGAGGTGGTGTCCGGGTCCGTGCTCGAAAACGAACCCGCCGGCACGGCCGTGATGCAAGTGCGGGCCATCGACGCCGACTCCACCGTCGCCAACAACCGGGTCACGTACGAACTGGCCGACAACCGCGAGTATTTCGCGATCGACCAGTACACCGGTAACATCACCACGCTGGTGACGTTCGACCGGGAGAAACAGGACATCTACAACGTCAAGGTGGTGGCCACGGACAACGCGCCGTCGGCCCTCTACAGCACCGGGCAGCACAACAAGGGTGAGTTCGCGTTCGCGGTGTCCCCTCCGGACCCGTGTCGGGTTCCGTTCGGTTCGGTTCGGTTAGGTTATCGGTTGGGTCTCTCGTCCGTCGGAGTCGATTTCTCCGCCGCCGCCTGCCCCTCCTCTCACCCCTCCCCCGCCCAATCGATTCGGATTGACGCGTTCCGAATCGATACGTACGGACAAAACTGCGTATACGCCGCCCGGGGCGTTACATATTGTTATTCGCTTGTATCATAATATTTATATACATTTCTACACAAGTGTGTGTTCCGCGTGCGTGCGTAATGGTTGTCCCGCGCCGTTTCGAGCCCGTAAAAACGGGCGCGGAAACGGTTTTTCAACGTCGCGAATTTCCAATGCTATTAACGGACCCACGGCGGACGATGGTTTTACCGACCGCGTCAGACTTCTCGACCCCCTGGGATGTTCCGCACTCGATTATATACCTAACGCCGAGCATGTACGTGGGCGGATTTAAACGATATACCCACTGCGGGGCTGACGGCACACCGTTGTTTTTACGCGTTGTCTATGCAGAGAAAAAATATATATATATATATAAATAAATAAAAGCATTTTTTATTTAATCGACGAAACGTAAATAAATTAAGTAAAAAAAAAATAACGAACTTGAATAATTAAAATTTTTTTTTTTTAAAAAAAAAAACCCCATTAATAACGATTACTATTATATAGGCGGGCATGTAATATTAAATTCGTTTATTATGCGTCCCGTTCGAGATTAGTCGTACTTTTGTTGTTTTTTTTTTAATCCACCTGATGTACGTCCGACTCTCGACAAATCCGCTATCGCCGCGCATGAGACTGACATGCCGGCGGTAATAGCAAACGAATAATATAGTAGTTAGCTTTTTTTTTCTTTTTTTTTTTTTGTACTATATTCTGACCAGTCGCGCGTCGTCCGTTGTTCGGCCCTCGTTAATAATATTATTCAGGACTGATAGTCACTCATAAGAATAATTCCAAAAGTCGTTTATTCAAAAAAAATCCATTGAAGAATTGACTTATAATACGATTACGTTATCAGCTGTATATTTCGAATTCATATTAACACCGTGGTTTGATTTTTGTTATTATATATTACATACTATTTGTTCGGTTAAATTTTTAGAATTAAAATATAAATTTAACAAAAAAAAAATATATATATATATATAAGTAGGCGTTTCACGATTTATGGCTGTCGGACTCGTGATGTTTTCGATTGAACGGTTTAATTGTTATTTTGACTTTAAGATAAACGAACCTTTGTCAACGCTAAATAACTCGATTAACTCCAAATAATTTCAAAACAAATTTTGATGATTTATCACTCGTTAATAAAAATAATATCTGCAACTTTTTTTGACAGTTTTATAAAAATTAATCAGTACTCCGTATATTATTATACGTGTAGGGTCATTGTGATTAATTATTTTGTTACATTTCTCAACCAGGCGAACAAGTATTCCGTATCGAAATAGCTGACAAAAACGACCATCCGCCCCGTTTCACCCAAACCGTGTACGAAGCCGAGGAAATACCCGAAGACGCGAACCTTAATGCTTTGGTCACCGAAGTCAAAGCTCTGGACGACGACACGGCCTCGCCGGTCACCTACAGCATCACCGAGGGCAATAGCTTCAATGCATTCCTGATCGAAAGTACTACCGGCAAAATCAAAGTCAACAGCCAACTGGACTACGAAAATATAACCAACGTGAGTGTTGAACTGATTACCGGATGATGCACGAACATAAAAATTTTAAGCATTTTTTTTTTTAATTTTTTTTTTTTTTTTTTTTTAAAAAAAAATTTGTACAGTACGTACTGAGAGTGAGAGCGTTCGACGGAGCTTACGAAGATTATTGCACAGTCGCGATAAAAATTTCAAACGTCAACGACAACCCGCCAGTGTTCAAACCGTACGAGGGCAACATTACGATCACGGAAGAAGAACTCGTGCCCGGCTGTATCACCAGGGTTAGACATTTTTTTTTCTTTTAAAACAAAAAATCAAAAAGTTATTTCACGGTGTAGGAAAAATTCCGTTTTGGTTGTGAACAAAATTTAAACTTCGGAAATGGGTTTCAAAAATAAATCTCGTCCATTCTGTACACGACAAATTATTATTTAAATATTTTTACGAAGCCGATTTAAAATTTGTTAACCGTTATGTTATGTATTTGTACCCTCAAGTTTATTGTGTATCAATGAAATCAACCGTAATTTTAAAACGCCCTTTCAATTTTCAAACCGTGCAATTACACATTTTATAAAATACACATGGTTGTCTTGCAGTTGGAAGCATACGATCCAGATATCCAAGACCGGAACGTCGACCAGCGCATCGTGTACTCCGTGATAAAGGAAGACCAAAGGAAATTAATGACCATCGACAAAAACGGATGTTTGTCTCTCATCAAACCTCTCGATCGAGATCCGCCCAACGGTTACGCTACGTGGCAAGTGATCATTCAAGCCAGCGACGAAGGCGGCGGTCCCAAAAGTTTACAAAAAACTACCGAAGTCATTATCGTCCTCCGAGATATTAACGACAACGCACCGTATTTGGATATGGTAAGTTATTTAATTATGTATATTAGATACTCGTATATATATAAAAAAAAAACCCCGAACTGTTTTATTGTGTTCTCTCATCCTGACAATTTATAGTTATTCATTTTTTTTTCCAATACATAATATTTTTGTTCGTGTTTCATTTTATGAATATATTACTTATTAATAAAATAACGTTAATCTGAACATATATATGTATGTATACCTACATGTTGAAAACGATTATGTCGATAGGTGGCCAATCTGTGACAAGTAACTGGTTTTTTTCTTCTAATACGTTAAATTTTATTCTAGCCTCAACAAGTGGTTTGGCGTGAAAATCAATCGCCCGGAACAATAACGAGTTTGAATGCCAAAGATAATGATGGGCCGGAAAATGGTGGTCCGTTTGAATTTTCAATCTCTCCCGATGCCACTTACGAGATCCAAACTAAATTTTCCGTTTCTGGTTCGTGAAATTATAATTTTTTTTTTTTTATTTTATTTAAATATGAATTTTAACCATCATGTTATTACTCTTTAGGTGGCGATCTGTTGGCCTTGACCACGTTCGATCGAGAAGAGAAAAAGTTTTACAACATACCTATTATGATTTCCGACAGCGGCATACCCAGAATGACAGGGACGAGTATGCTTAAAGTAGTGATTGGTGACGAGAACGATAACCCTATGAAAGAAGGAAGAAGCACCATATTCGTGTACACGTACAAAGGTGAATCTCCCGACATGGAAATTGGACGTGTGTATGTTGACGATTTGGACGATTGGGATTTGCCAGACAAAAAGTTCAAATGGCTTCATGGGCCCCACGAACGTTTTGACCTTAAATCGGAAACGGGCATGATCACCATGCTCCAAAACACCAAGGAGCAGACGTATGTTTTAGAGTTTGATGTCACGGAGCACGGGGCCAAGATTCCCAGGCATACGGTGAATTCTACTGTTGTTGTCACCGTGAAGGAAATACCAGAAGAAGCGGTCGATAAGTCGGGATCGGTTCGAATGGCGGGGATTTCTGCCGAAGAATTTATTACACCTGGTCCAGTATGTATTACAATATTTATAAATGATAGCTAAGAATAATTTATGATTAAAATATTTACAATGATTTAAAAAAAAAAAAATTTCAGGATAATATTAGTAAAGCTACCGTGCTGAAAGAGCGATTAGCTTTGATTTTAAACGCTAGTGTCGAAAACGTCGATGTATTCACTATTTTGCATTCTCCCCACAATCCCAATATTACTCAATTGGATGTACGGTTTTCTGCACATGGTTCGCCATATTACCAGCCAGAGAAAATCAATGCCGCTATCGATAAACATCAAGCTGAAGTAAGCCAAAAAAAAAAAAAATTTGATTATAAAATAATAATTGCAATGTTGTTCAATTGTTGTTTTAAATTTGTTTTTTAGCTGGAAAAAGAATTAGGTGTTGTTTTTTTGATGGTTAACATCGACGAATGTCTCGTGGAAAAACTTTACTGCGATACATCATGTACCAACTTCCTCAATAAGAGCAACGAACCGGCTGCTGTTTACACAAATACCACGTCTTTTGTAGGCATAAGAGCTGTGATCGATCCTTTCTGTCAGTGTGAACAGAGAGCAGCAACTAAAATCACATGCCATAACGGTGGCACTCCATTCCAAGATGGGTAAGTTGCATTTTTTGCTCGCATGCATTTTTTTTTTTATATATATATACAGGCCAATATTTAATACATTTTTTTGATTAATTTAGTACTGGTTGTAATTGTCCAAGCGGATTTGACGGCCCGCGATGTGAAATCCTTAGTATCGGATTTTATGGTGAAGGCTACGCTCTGTATCCACCCTTGCAATCATGCATGGAGTCTCACATGTCTTTGAATGTGCGCACATCAGTCAATCACGGTCTACTGTTTTACGCTGGACCGAGCAGTATTAAACCGTCACTTTTATCTGTACAAGGTCAATAGTTATGCAAATATTATAAATTTAACATTATTTGTTTATTGTGTTTTTTTTTTTTTTTTTGTAATAACTTGTTGTCTGTTTTTCGCACAGATTTCATGTCTTTGGAGCTTAAAAATGGTTTTCCTGTACTGCTGGTGGATTATGGTTCAGGTACGCTGAAAATCGAACAGACACAAATAAAAATATCCGACGGACAACCACATCATATTGAAATCATATGGACCAAAACTGTAATTACACACCTTATCATATATATACTTATGAGTTGTACTCACAACATTTTACTTAACTTTTAGAGCATTGAAATGAAAGTAGACAGCTGTAATCTGCCTTCATGTCTGAGTCTTAGTCCTCCTATCGGACCCAACGAATTTTTAAATGTAAACGGACCATTACAAGTAGGTGGTTCATTTGTCGATCTTAAAACAATAGCGGCAACTCGAAATTGGACCTACAAGCCGTCCAGCAATGGTTTCAACGGTTGTATACAGAATTTAACATTCAATGACCATCTTTACAACTTGGGCACTCCAAGTTTATCCCATAACGTTGACATATCCTGTACACATGGTACAGCGGTTGCTGTTTCATTTGGTCTTGATCCCAGCTTTTTGATTGCTATTTTTGTGTGTCTAATTGTTTTATTAAGTAAGTCAAATTTTTTTTTTATCACATGACAGTTGTCTAATCTGTGATTTTTTTTCTTGTCCTTATTTTAGTATTACTACTTGCTGTTGTGGTGCACAGAAGAAAGTCTGACGATTTGTACAAAGATACTGATGATATTAGAGAAAATATAATTAACTACGAAGATGAAGGTGGCGGCGAAGGAGACATGACTGGTTATGATTTGAACGTCTTACGTCTTATGTACGACGGCTCAGAACCCGTACAAGGATTTGATGATGCAGGAAATTTAATACAAAAACGAGGTTTGTTTAAAACAATGTTAATTAAATCATATTTTTATTCCGAATATCTCAAGGGATTATTTAGTATATATTTTAAATGTATTAACCACTTTTTAACACTAGTCAACACTTTTTTTTTTTTTTGATTTCTCTTGTGATTTCTAAAAATATTTGATTTAGACTTTATGAATAATATAATTCAATGTTTATTTAAAAATGTGGACCTTTGCCACAATTTCATTGATAACAAGTAATAAAATCTATTTCAATTTAATAACATGTTTGTCTTTATTATTTTCATTTAGAAAACTACAACTTGTATTCTTTTTTCTTTTTTTAATACAAAATCATGTCAATATGTTCACAACAACAACTGTTTTTATTGTTTGTTTCATATATATTATCTTTTACAATTATTTTGGTATCAATAAATGTATTATTATTATTATTTTAGAACTGTAGGTGTGTAATATTTTATTGAAATTATATTTTATTCTATAGCACCAGACGAAGTACCAGACATATGTGGCTTCCTCGGTGATAAACTGAACTCTGTAGACAACGATCCTGATTTAGGACCGTATGATGATGTACGTAACTATATGTATGAAGGTGAAGGAAATTCAGTTGGATCACTGTCTTCGTTAGCATCAGGTTTGTTTTTAACATTGAATACTTTGTTTTTTATTTTATTTTTAACATTTAAACGACACGTATATAGGTACGGATGACGGTGACTTGAACTTTGACTATCTGTCTAACTTTGGACCTCGATTCCGTAAACTGGCTGATATGTACGGTGAAGATCCAAGTGACGAAGAAAGTGAAACGTACCGCAACACTCATCCCGAGTCGTGGTGCTAACAACTGTTTTAATGTTGCTATCAGTGATCAGTTACTGGTGCATAATAATGTTATTATGTTACTTGTAAGATTATGACGACTACATACCTAGGTAGCGATACCGACTATACATTATAAAACAATAATATTAAAAGGAATTATTTGTACAGAGAGTTGACGGTGCTCTAATAACAATTATTATTGAATAACAATATATTCACTATAAATATGTTTATTTTCATCTAATCATTAATTATTGTTTTGTGAATATTGAAGTAACGAAGACAAATTTTTGTGTATAAAATTCAAAAAATTGATTCGTGATCTCAACATCAGACTGCTTTAGTCTAATTATATATTTCCTCCCTGCCTTTTTTATTATAATTATTTATTTATTTATTTTTTTTTTTTTTTTGTATCAAATTCACGACTTAGTAGGCATAGGCATAAAACTATTCATTAATATTGGTTTATCTCTCAAACAATATTGACAATTAAAATTAAACAATTTTTCATTGCTTCCTGATAATAACTTATGTTAATTCATATTTTTGTATGGGATTTCATGAAATTTCTAATTATTTTCTCCGCAAAGTGACCTTTTTTAGGAATAAAAAAATACTATAGCAAAATTTTATTGCGCATTGTTGTTATGTGGCAAATGATATCTATTTTTTTAAGTATTTTAATGTTTTAATAATATGTGTATACTGCCATTGGATCATTTTGAACTAACAACTTTTTACATGCAATATACTCATTTGTAAATATATAATATTATGATAATTTAATCAGGGTTAATTATGATGCACAGATCAGCATACAGAATTCATTCGACTAGAAATAGAAATAATTGAATGAAATAATATTTCATTAAAAATCAAAATATTTATACTTCCCTTCCATATTTTTATCATTTATTTATATTCTTCTACTTTGTTTGAACTTTTCACTTGAACACTCAATATAGTCTTATATTTTGTTACAAACAATTAAAAGTATAGTAGTCAATGTAGAAGATACCCACGTGTTAATTATGTATAACACTATTTTTTTTTATATATAGAATCATTATTTTGTTATGTGAAAGGTTGTTATTTTTTTTTTTTTTTTTTTTTTAAATCCTCTACAAAATTATGATATTATTATTTTGTATTTTTAATATTAAAATTTAATTTTATATATGTACATTTTTGCTTAGTCTTTGACTTCAAACTTAATTATTTATATCCCTATATTATTTTATTGAGTCTATGTATTATTATTTTGTTGCCATTTGTGATATGTATTTTTTATTAGTTCATTTTTATTTTTAAAAAAAAAAAAAAAAACAAAAAATACCATGTTAAGGATGGACAAACATTATATTTATAAATATATAAAGAGAAAAGAAATGTAAAAAAAACATTCCATTTGATATAATAATGTTGTCGATGCGCATGTCTGTGCAAATAAACGACTGAAAACTTTAATATAATGATAATATTAGTCTAAGAATTTTTTTTTTTTTTTTTTTTATACATATATTATTATTAATTTTACGTTATTTATAAGCTATGCATATTGTATTTGTTAAGTTATATCAAATTAAGGTGTTAACATTTAAGGTAAACAAATTAATGTCTCGTAATTTAATCACTTTTTTTTATGTACCTATTGTCATGTATTATTTATTTACCTATATACATTTATAAAATAAATTGAGCAAGGACTATTATTACACATATATTTCTATATATATATATATATATATATATACAAATATATATACAATTATAAATAATTATCATATCCATTAGTGTTATTTACCGAATACCTGAATTAATGACTATTCGAATGTTCATATATTATAATTCATATAATTCTGAAAATACAAAATTATTTTTCTCTGTATTAACAGTCAAATGATCCACTCAGGACTTGCGCTACAACAAATAATCATACTTTCCCATCCAATGTTATTACCTAGCTACCCGTTTTGTATTCTTCTGTGCTGCATCTTTTGATCTAGTATATAGTTCACCAAGAGACCATTTTGTTTTTTTCGTTGCCATGTTCTGTCGATAAATATATGGAAATCCATTTAACTCTCCATGTATGTCTCAACAATTCTGTTTACATCTTATGTATAATAGGGGTGGATTATAGATACATATGGGTACAGCTCATTATGTTTTATATATGTAATATTCCAGGATCTCTATTGAATATGAGTCTAAATATGTTTCCTTAAAATGTCATTTTCCACACCATTAATTTTCTGTCGTTTTCTTTTATTATAGATCAAATATCACACGCATTCGATTAGCAAACAGAAAATTGTTCTTAGGAACTTACCAAGCAATATAATGAGTACAATACAATGTTGTTTCTACATTTCTCATTAAACAATAATTGTAATAATAGTACTATACAAATGGTATTATTACAAGTGAGTGAACATACGGCAATACTTGATGATTTGAGTGCTTATAAAGAAGTACATGATATTGATAAAACTAATTTTTTATAGTCAAAATGTTAAGATTTTTTTTTTTTAACTTTCCGGAAATTGATTTATTAATGAAATGTTCTTCCACTTTTATCTATCCATAGCAACTTTCTTAAGTTCTTTATAGGATTCTATATCTAAGTCTAACGTGATCTGCTTCATATAAGACTTTCTTGGCCTTTCTCTTCCTGGTTCCATATCAACCTCCTTTCATATATTTTATGATACACATCTTCATTTGATATTCATTCTGTCCGGGAGATTTTTAATGCCCTTCTCCAATACCAAGTTTCAAATGCTTCTATTCTTCTTCTGTTTACTTGCTGAATTGTTCATGATTCTGTTTCATACAAAGCTGGTGTATTACTCTATCTTTGAAATCTAGACTGATCTTCTCCTTTATATGAAAGAGCTTATTAATTTATTGTGTTAATGTGTTAAACTATTAAATAATACAACTGAAACCCTGGAATTCAATGAGTATTTTTATCATAATATGGAATAGTGCATTAACTTGAGTAACAGAAATAATTGGATTGTGGAGGACGAATTCAGTCTCAGAGCATTCTACTTACTCTACACACTTTTAAAATCTTTAAGTTTAAGATTTTTTTTTAAATGAACAAATGAACATAGTAAAAACTTATGTAATAACATAGGTTTAAAAAATATTTTAGGTATATGCAGAGTCCAAAATTATTAAAAGAATATCAATCACGGTTGAAACAAAATATTGAGCTCAATGTATGATATTTTGATGTTGAAAACGAACAATTACGTAGGAGGTAGGTACAATAAAATGAATAAAGTATTGCATGAAATATTAAAATTACCGCAAATTTTATCAAAAGACAAAACTACAATGGTTTGGACAAACCCATTGTTACCAGATAATTTACAATGAATATTATAAAATATTTATAAATTGTTTAAATAAAAAAATTAATTTTTACTGCACTTACTTAAGTAAATTATTCATATTGCCTTGTTTTGTAAATGTAAATTTGTAGACCTTATAGGTGTGTAGAAAAGTAAATCTGACTGGGGAGGTACTTTTAAAGGGAAGCCATTTATGATTTTTCCGTGTACTCTCCCAATAAATTGGAAAATCTGTACAATATTAAACAAATATTATTGAAGAAAATATATAATGCAATTGTTTTACCATAATATGGCATATGTATGATTGACAAACCAACGTTATCAACTGAGCTTCGCTCAGAATCGTTTTTTCGTTAATAATTAATCTTTGTGAACAGTTATACATTTAAATTCACCTCTATATTCCACCTTCTACACTACCCACCTACTACAGTTGCCGCACTAGTCTGTCTCCAATATAACATAATCTTTTTGAGCTAATTAAGTCGATATTAAGTGTATGTACTGATTATTACTTATGAGGCGACTAGAACACAAGGGATATAAGTTAGGATCTTGTTTTATGCAGAATTGTCCTTTTTTTTCACCTTTGCGTCCTGGCGAACTTTTTTCAGGACGCCTTTTGCTCTGTTTTTTTATGTCGATGCCAATATTATTTTGTCCTGTTTTTTATTTTTTTAAATATTGTCGTTCTAATCCAAGGGACATTTTATTGATTTCGAGAAAATAAAGTTTTAAGTTATTTGTAATTAATATAATTACTTTAGCATATTATCATACCATCACTTGTATTCGAATGATACCTAAATAATATGTTTAGTCACTAGGCAGTAAGAGACATAAATGTATGTACAGCTGTTTTGGACCCTTGTACCTATATACTACTAGGTTTTTAAAAAATGTCACTTGTGTTTTAGACTCCTCATATGTAATTGATTAGGTAACTTTAAATTATTTTTTAGTCATATTGATACAATGCACAAAACACTCGACAATTACAAACAAAAAAAAATCCCTAATTATTTTAATCGTATCTATGTACCTAATTATTTTATAAATTCGAACATTTACTAATCTGGTAACCTACGTAAATAATAATTTATAGGTACTCCATATAATATTAGGTACATTTTTTATAGGTATCTAGGTTATATTATGAAAACTAGACGTGATGGGAAGAAACGGATTTCAGATTTAAATTCAGTGCGTCAAATTCTACGGACGTCGTGTATTAATAATATAGATGCAGCAAACGATAAATAAAAAAAAAACTATATTTAAATTGATAAATATATCTTAATGTATTGTATATTATACTATTCTGTGAACACATATTGCAGAGTTGTGTTATCGTTTATTCAACAAATGTCCGAGAGCAAAAAGTAATCAAACGGAAAGTATGCCCGCCAACGGTGAATCCAAAAAAGTTTCAAGAAATTAATTATAATTGTCGACGCGACTCAAGACGCCTCATTGAAACATGGACTTACCTCGGTGAAACTTATTGGACATTTGGCATTTAAAACAAAAAAAAAAAATCTGTCCATATTTTTAATCCGAAATTCGACCACTCTAAAAGCAGTCTTATAAAGTATTTGAGTAAAAGTAAGTATTTAAGTAAATACATTTAAATAATTTTGTATTATTC